TTCTTCTTCTTCTTCTTCTTCTTCTTCTTCTTCTTCTTCTTCTTCTTCTTCTTTATGGTGACCAATGATGATGATGATGATGATTCTAGTAAACAATACCTTAATATTTAAATGTTTGGGTTTCCCCAGCTTGGCCATGATAATGTGGGAACTTTGGTACGGCCGTGATCTGGCTGAATACGCAGCTATGGAAATCCAAGGCGGACTCAAGGTAAAGGAAAAAAGTTTCGCTCTTTACCAGGTGACCAGAACAAAAGTTCTTTGAACAGAATGCTGTAAAATCCGTTATAAATAAAGTTACAAACACCAAATTTCGGAAAAACACGAAACATCAACGGGATTTATTATGTTATATTTACTATAAATCATTACAACAATAATCTATGTTGCAAGATGTGTTCCAGATGCCTCCTTATTTCGGGTAAGGCAGATTCTGACTCACTGGGTGAAATCACGCGTTGACACTGCGAGGGATAAATCTCTCTCGTGCCAACCCTGGTGGTTTCTTTTAAAATGTGTCAACTTTATAAGGTTTTCCGATACATTTTGTCCTTCAAGCACCACAAAGGTAAAAGTGCAGTGGACTCAGATCAGAACAGTTTGGGGCCCAGCCCTGCTTAATCCCAAAACTGAACTGTCCTGTTACCAAAATTGTTGCAATCCCTCTTAGAACAGGACTGACGACATGCGGTTCAGCCTCATCTTGTTGAAAGTGCTGGTTCTGTCTCCCTTTAACTAGTGCTGGGCAATGAGTCACATAAGCAAAATCCGGATAATATGTTTGTGCACCTCTTCGGAAAAAAATAATAGGATATGAACCGCTTCTGCAAATAGGTTAGAACCGCTTCAACAAACGGGTTAGCACTATTTTAACAAATGGGTGCACCCACTTCGTCAAACGGGTCAGGAATTTTTTTACTGAATTCGTACAATGTTTCATAGATGATTATCCGGTTATCCAGATAGATTATCCAGATTTTGCCCACCTCTACCTTCCACCCCAGCAACCGTTCCCAGGAGGAATCTACAGACTTTTGAGAGGATGAAGAGGTATCGGTTTTGAGTTCACTATGATCGTATGCTAATGTTGATTGAGAAAGACGAAAGGCTCTATGAAGCCCTGATAACTCATTGTTGTCCACACCGTTGCCTTCTGTTCATGCAGGCCTTTCCAGTAAATTTCTTGGGAGAACCTCAGAGCCGCACACTTTCGAAAAAAAACCCAACCTATCAAAGCAGCGCACTATCAAAGTCGCATACATTTTGACGATATAGCTACAGTTGGATTGCCTATTATCAAAATTAACTTCATCCAACAGTTGAAGTCCTTTCACTGCCCATTTAAGTAATAAAACAATCTAGCCTTGTACCAGTCATAATGGTTAATAGAGGAACGATACTACTAATACACATTCTTTCTAACGTCGTGTTACAATTCACCACTTATTTGAGTAATTTTTGGCACAATCGCTGTACTCATAGGGCTCGGTGAAAGACAGAAATCTTTTTAAAAAGATTTAGTACAAGATGTCAAAATGTCGTATATTTGAAAACCAGTTTAAATGTTATATTGCATGAACACACCTCACACTCTTTGTTAATTGACTCAAATGGAAAGCAGTTTTCTGGACACTGAATTTTATGGAAACAGCATGGAGTAATTTTGTCAAGGGGACTGTAACCGTCGGGTGGGATCGGCAATCTTATTGTACCGATATCGTCAAAAAGTGCCGCTGTGATAAACTTGTTTTTTTTTTTTGGGGGGGGGGGGGGGCTGGGAGGAGGGGGGAGTACGAGACTCTGATAGTTTCCCAATTTCTTCGGGCATTGCTTATCACCAACAAACCCTTTTTGTTATTCAAATAAACGATGATGTAGAAATATGCCTCGTCAGAAAACTAGAGTCGTTGAATAATTTTTTTTATCTCAATTGAACTGGTCAAGGAATCTCGTCCACTCTGGCATCTGTGTTTGCTTCAGTTCGTCATTGGTGAATTTGAATTTTACAAGGCTGTGGTCCCAAATCGTTAATCAATATTTGTCTCAAAGATACCACGAGAACCCAAAAACTCAAAACTGCAACACTGTATTGGTTTCTTCTGTGCTTGAACCACTGAATCATGAGCCACCTTCAAATTTTGAAGTGTTCGTTGTTTCACAGGCTGCCCACTGTGTGTTGCTCAGGACTGCACGTTCTTGTTTCCTGTGGACCAAACCTTTTTAAAACTTGCGGCCCATTTTAAAACAGACTATTCGTTTTGAACTTCATTTGCTACGGATATCTATCCTGTATTCTCACGCAAATGTACGAGTCAATTGAGAAAAATGTGTTAGGTGATACATCTTCAAGGCAAAAGTACGCTGTACAAGGGTATACTGCCTTTTTAACTTGCCGTCGTGCGACAACAATGAACATATAAAAAATGTAATCCAGATGAATGATTCAGCTTTCGGTAAATGTTGGTGTCAGTTGAGTCATAAACAAGAAAGGTATTTTCTTTGAACGAACATTTTTTTCTGGTCAGCTGGTAGGTATATGTCCCCTAAAATAACTAAAATTTTAATGCTTTGTATCTAAATCCTTTAATCAGTTCATCAAAAGCACACTGTCAGTTTCGTTATGTACGATACTTATGTAAATTGCTTTGAGTCTTAATGTGTGAAGCAATTAATGAAAGTAAATTGGAAATTTTTTCACAGGGGAATGGGGATGTGCGAATGAAGTACTTTGGACTCGAGTTCGAGTCCGAGTAATAATGAAATACTCGAATGAGTTTTTGAGTCCTCGAGTACTTGAATTATGAGCTCAGGTTCAGTGTGTATAATGTAAAGTACATGTTGCTACTAGTTAATTCATACTATAAATAATACAAAAGCAGAATATGAATATTAATAATTGTAAAATCTATAAACAAAAGTAATACAATTATTGAGAAGGTTTGGTTGAACATGGAAAACGAAGAAAAAAAAAATACTACAACAACAAACAAAAACGACGAAGACAGCAAACCTTATGATTCTACTAAAAGCTCCCACTGGGTAAACAAAGTAGGTCATCGAGTAATAACCTGAGTATTCAGAGGTTTGGGATTCTAACGATTGCTCGAGTATTACATTCTTGCACCAGCGAGTACTCGCAGAGGCTTAATACTCGAGTACTTGCACTCCCGAACCGGCTGTTCCTTTGATCAAAATTAGAATACAACTATTTCCTTCCCAGCAAAATATTGAAAGTGGATGGCGCCCAAAAATGTCTGCCGTGCATCCTCCCCCGGACTACTGGCAAGAACTGATGACAAAATGCTGGAACCAGAAAGCCGCTGAGCGACCTACAGCAGAGACAGTCGGAAGAACTTTGTCACAGAAAATGATGGAAATTCAATAAACCTTTGGAGGTCGGCGCTAGAAAGGAGCTCAGAGATCCTAACTTTGGAATGAACAGTTAATGTAAATTTCTACGTCTCCGCTATATTTATCATCGTTGTCGTCATTTGTGTCATTATAATCCTCTTCCCAATGTGTAGACAAAGTTTGTTTTCGCTTTTAAAAATGGTTATTAACAGAACAAATGGCGTCTGTTGGGATCATCATCACCACCATCATCAACTTCCAGGTAAAAAATACCTGCAAAATCACCCAGTATAACTTAACTGAAAGAAAATTTAATGATTGCTGTACAATCTAAAAATCCAACATATTATGTTGTGGTTTTAAAACTTTGTCTTTGTTAAAATATGTCTTGTATTTTTATGTCAGTTTGTTCCTGTTAAATGGTGAAAATATAAATCAATATATTCATAGTCATATTATTGGGAATTTAACTTAAAAAAGAGTAAAAACAATGCTTAAAAAAAAAATTGTCCAGGAGAAAAATGTCCGTCTTTAAAGAGGGAAATTGTACGCATTGTCATATTAATGTTTATAAAATTAAGCAAAGAAGGAAAGGGAGGGGGGGGGGGGGGGGGGAGGTGGTAGTAGCCATTTGTACAGGTGAGTATCTCATACAGGTATCCGTTGGAACAGGTTCAACTGTATTGAATGACACAAGAAACAAACATTAAATGTCAGTCCTGGATTATCAGGCCCAAAGGGACTTAACCGTATTATAATAAATATGACATTTTCTTTAAAAAATTCTGGTTGTTTCCCTTACTATTTTTCGCTTGATGTGCAAGTTCTTATTCATTTTTTAAATTTTATTTTGATACATTTTTTAAACTTCTTGAAGTAGAATCATCTAACTCGTATAATAATATGATTTATGTGCAGTTGGGTGTATGCTAGACAATGTTTTTGAATATGTGCATAAAGGAGAGAGAGAGAGAGAGAGAGAGAGAGAGAGAGAGAGAGAGAGAGAGAGAGAGAGAGAGAGAGAGAGAGAGAGAGATAGAGAGAGAGGGAGAGAGAGAAAGGGAGAGAGAGAGAGAGAGAGAGAGAGAGAGAGAGAGAGAGAGAGAGAGAGAGAGAGAGAGAGAGTATCTTTGTTTGCATTTTACGTAGTTTACATTTTATTTGTAAATTACACCCACACTAACCCTGAACATTACTACCATGACATCATTCAGTGTTCATTGTATCTTCATCTATGATGTGCTTTGCAATGAACATCTATTGTAATGAATAAGACTGTGATGATAGAGCGTTGCCATGAAAAATGTTATCTTTTTAAGCAAACAATCAAAATTATTCTAGACTACTACTCACTTAAAAAAATTATTATTCAATTGTTTGATGAATTCAATGGGCTACATTATAATGATAATAATATTTTTATCATCGTCATCTTCATCGTTATTATTATCATCATAATTAACAATATTATTATTATTATCATTATTATTATTATTATTATTATATCATCATCATCATCATCATCATTATTATTATTATTATTATTATTATTATTATTATTATTATTATTATTATTATTATTATTATTATTATCTCTGTTATTTATATTATTATTATTATAATAATAATTATTATTAGATCATTATTATTGTTATCCTTCTTTTTCTTCTTCTTCTTCTTCTTCCTCTTCTTCTTCTTCTTCTTCTTCTTCTTCTTCTTCTTGTTCTTCTTCTTCTTCTTCTTCTTCTTCTTCTTCTTCTTCTTCTTCTTCTTCTTTTTCTTCTTCTTCTTCTTCTTCTTCTTCTTCTTCTACTACTTTTTCTTCTTCTTCCTCTTCTTCTTCTTCCTCTTCCTCTTCTTCCTCTTCTTCTTCTTCTTCTTCTTCTTCTTCTTCTTCTTTTTCTTCTTCTTCTTCTTCTTCTTCTTCTTATCTGAGTATCACATCAATGAACGGACTCAAAAGAATCGATCGTCCAGTCATTATGGACACAGTGCGAATTGCCTTTGAACGGAAGCCTAACTTGTTTACAATGGCGTCTTACAAGACGGACTTTCCCAAGATTAGATCTAACCAAAAACAATGAAAAACTGAAAATTTAACTCCAGGGACTTCAGACTCGTTAATATAACTATACCCTTTTAATGATTCTGATTTTTTTTTGGGTTAACTGTTTTACACCGCTCCCAACTGCATACGGTCATAAGAGCGCGTGACACATCTAGTATTTTCAGTTGGGAGGAAATTTGGAAATTTGCCCGTAAGGCGGCCGTAGCCTGCTCTTACAGGTTTTGGACCACCAAGTGATTTTTAACGTGCGCAACTTAAACACGGGACCTCCGAGATTTTTTGCACTTGTCCGAGCAGGTGTAGATCTTTCCTACCAGAAGATCAGGGGGGGTCGCTGAAACAGAAGTAAGAAGGAGCAAAGGAGAAGCAGTGAAAAGACAGCAGAAACGAGTCAGGAGCCCAGAGGTGGGTGCAAAAGGTGAGGGGGTGGGGGCAGAAAGTGGAGACGAAAGCAGACGACAGAACATTGCTAGAGAGCACGAAAGGAAATGAAAGGAGACAATTTTAGAGAAGAAAATTTTTCGGTCGCTACCCGGAATCGAACCTGGGACCTTTGAAGGAAAGGCCAACACCTTAATCCCTAGGCCACTAGAACCCCCCCTCCTCCTCCCAATGATTCTGAACCACCAGTTATTTTTTTAAAATTCGAATGTTGATGGTTCGGAAGTTTTTTGTCGATTAAAGTGACGAACGTTCACAAAAAAAAGTAATAATTATTATTATTATGATTATATTATTAATATTATTATTATTATTATTATTATTATTATTATTATTATTATTATTATTATTATTATTATTATTATTATTATTAATAATATCATTATATTATTATTATTATTATTATTATTATTATTATTATTATTATTATTATTATTATTATCATTTATATATTTTTTTAAAAAAGACACCTTTCCCGTCTACAGTCAGATACTCATTCCCAATTCGGCGAAGTGAGGAAAATTCATACAACATACCTCTACCAAGGACACAATTTCGACCCCATGGCGGCAAGGTTCAAATCCATGACCCTTTAGTCACAAAGCACAAACGGCACCTCTGTTTTTGCTAACTACTCCAAATCAGTCTTGAATTCTGTGCTTCAAATATATCTATGGTACAGAGAGATCTAGATCTAGAGTCTTGCTCCATAAAAAAACTACGCACCAAATACACGCCAAATTTTTAAAACGTCAAAACAACGTAGCAAACATGTTGTGGGTCTAAACGAGCTCAAGGTGTTGAGGACATTTATACACCAAATGTATCTAGAAAAAGTCAATAAAATAAACTTTGGCTTGAAGTAGATCTATCCATCGACACTGCTCATGCGAAGCACAAATCCAAACAGAGTCAGATATCGAGATTCTACATCTGGAAATAGTAGAGGCAGCTGTCGCACATACACGACGAAGCACAAACCGAAACGGAAGTAGTCCCAAATATAATATGCATAGAATATCATTATTATTATTATTATTATTATTATTATTATTATTATTATTATTATTATTATTGTTATTATTATTATTATTATTATTATTATTATTATATCATTATTATAAGAATTATTACTGTTATTATTATTTTTATCATTGTTATTATTATTATTATTATTATTATTATTATTATTACTATTATTATTATTATTATTATTAGTATTATTAGTATTATTTCAATTATTATGCCAATTATTATGTCTATTATAATTCTGGTAATAAACTCATGTTTCCCAGAACAACGTGTGTTCTACTATCTTAACTGTCATTAAGATTTCTCTACTTACGAAGTTACAGAGTAATCTTAGTGTCTTAGTTTAAGGTCTGCAATTCTGATGTGAAATTATTTAGATCTATATTTACCCAAAATTGAGTAAATCTTTTATTTACAACCATGGTGCACTCAGACAATAGACATATTAAATCATACTAAACAGTCACACTGATGAGGTGGTTACTTTTTGAGGTATAAGATTTAGTCTTTATAGACGTTGATCTAAACATGTCAAGCTTCACTTTGGTCTATAATTTAGCCCTATTTCCTGACTAAGACTCCGATCCCCCACCCCCCTCTTTAACCACAATTGAAATGTTGCTCACACATAATGTGTAGAAATTGCATTGTTTTGGTAACTGTTCTTAGCTATCTTTGTTAATGGGACACGGGAATGAAAGAGGAAAAAATGCCAGAGCCAATATGAAACTTTTGTTATCACAAGATATATTGGAAAAGTTTGTGTATCAGAGGTTGATACTTTGTGTCCTTTGAAGTACTATGCCCCGCCCCCCCCCCCCCCCCCGGGTCATAATAATTTATCACATTAGCCCCGACTTTGCAATTCGCCCAACACACACTCAAACAGAAAAAAATATATTTATAATTAAAGTTACATGAGCCAATAGGCACTCTAGGAGAATACAAAGAAACACGTTATAACTCACGTAAAAAACAATAACAACAAATGATAAGGTGGGTCCTCTATGTATATGTAATGATGCAATCCGTTTTCACATCCATGTGTGGCTTTTCATGTGCATTTCTGTTTGTAATCCTGTAACATTAAAGGAGGATACTTTACTGCCTTTTCTATAAACAGCGTTTATTTGTATACTGTGTTCTTGAATTGCATTTACTCTTACCATGCATGACCATTTTTATCTGATGTTTTTTTTTCTATTTTAATGTTCAATTTTGCCAATCGATTTCTAGAAAGGATGATTACAGAATACAGGTTCAGTTTGGCACCTTTGCGTTTCCCTCGAAGTTTTGACTGAGAGTTATGTCATTTCATGCTATCATAGGTAACACTTATTTTACCGCAATGTTGTTTGAGATTTAAAGCACATACATATACGTAAAATTTATTCTCCTCTGACATCCTTCTATAAAATGAAAGGTTTGTCTGCAGTACTCATAATTGTATGAATCTGTTCATTTCAACGTATGTAGTCCTAGCCTGAAGGTGGTTTTTCCTTGTATCTCAATAAGATTTATAAGACTATCCCCCCATCTAATTTACTGAAAGAGACCTTGTCTGGCCCCTTTCGATAGCTAAGAATCTAGAAATATTTGTTTTCAATAAAGGCCATACCATTTGACTGTGAATACAACAAGATAAATATTCACTTTTCCAAACCTTTTCTCTCAGACGTACAACTGTTCAAAGACAGTGCTGGGTATAAACTATTTTCCCTTAGCTGTTTCTTTTAGGACTAGTGATGAAAAGAATAAAATTAGTGAAATCAATAATGATAATAAGGTAACAGCTTTTTGTATTAAAATGGTTTAACACGTTTCGGAGTTTTATAGACTATTTTCTAATCAAATATACATGAGTTCATTTTCTTATGGTATCTCACCATTTAACGTTAGAATTTGTCAAGTGTACTTTCCTCTAAACTTTATCCTTTCAGATGGTTTTGCTTTCTTTTGTTTATAACTATGACGCTGGGGAGCTCTACACTATCAAAGTACCCTTAACTTTCTTCACATTTCTGCTTACTGAACTGTACATTCCATTTTATGATGTTTTTTTTAGCGTTATTATTGTTATACGTTTGCACTATAAACCGTTCAAAACTATAAACATGAGTCGTCACAAAACTTGTTTCGCTTCTGGAACTGTTATGATTGTTAGACCAGGGCACATTCACATGGCACGCGAAAACCTGGGACTTTTGTTTATGACCTGGTCGTGGTGTGCTGATTTTCCTGTGTGCCAAAAAACTGCAGTACCATGTGATTATTAATTGGTTTGGGGATTTTGAGAGACCAATGGGTTTTTTTTATTTCGTGCTTTGAGTGTTATAAATATCAATCTTTTCTCATGTTTTGTATTTGTTACTCTTTTGTTATACCTCGAATCTTGGCACCTATAGACCTGAGTTGCAAGTGCTGTGCGTAAAACTCTTA